CACTCTTTCTCATCATGCAGAGACCTTCTCAGGCCGGGCCCGGCACAATAGCTGAGTCAGCCGCGGGCCACCACCTGGAGGGAGCCTGGACATGAACTTGTGGGCTGAAGAAGCAAAACGCAGCTCAGTGGGGCAGGGTGAAGGAGGAACGGAGGGCGTAGTGCAGCTGGACGGAGGGCAATGCTGACCGTGGGTGGCTCGTGTCACTTCTCTGTGCCAAATCCCCCACCCGTACAATGCAGACACCAAAGACCCCGTCTCTGCCAGCGTGACCTTGCCCACAGGGGCCGGCACTGGTTTCCAGTGGCTTCAGTGTTGGTTCCAACATGGTCATCACTCTGGGAGGTGGGCTGAGGTCACAGCCACTGGTTCATCCTGGCAGTGCTGGGGGCCCGAGCAGGAAACCAAGACAGGCACCCAAGTGTCCGGCGTCATCCCCGCTGATTCCCCGGGGCTGCCGTCGGGAGGCTGTGCAGGGAAAGGAGCCAAGATTCTCATATGGAATGGGGGCATTTTAAAATGTAGGCTGGGGCCTGGCGTGGTAGCATAGCAGCTAAAGTCCTCACCTGGAACATGCTGGGATCCCATACGGGCACCAGTTCTAATCCCGGCAGCCCCACTTCCCACCCAGCTCCCTGCCTGTGGCCTGGGAAAGCAGTGGAGGACGGCCCAAAGCCTTGGGACCCTGCACCCACATGGGAGACCCGGAAGAGGCTCCTGGCTCCTGGCTTTGGGTCGGCTCAGCTGTGGCTGTTGCAGCCATTTAGGGAGTGAATCATTAGATGGAAGATCTTCCTCTCTGTCTCTCTTTCTATCTGTGTATCTGACTTTGCAATAAAAATAAGTAAATCTTTAATAAAATAAAAAAAAAACCCTCTGTTGTTGGTGAGGACTCCACCACTGGTAACCCCTGTGACCACTCAGCTGAGCAGCCGAAGGCTTCCACCCACGGTGGGCGTGTTGCAGCCCCCGTCCGGGACTGAGTGTCATTGGCTCAGCCCGACCTCAGGGTTCACCCAGCAACCTCCGGCTTGGGGGAGAGTCCGTGTGCTGTGACTGGCCAGGCTGGTCAGTGCGCTACGCAAGGCTGGGCGCCTTGAAGGGAGCCCGGCTGGTTCCCCACGGAGGCAGACGCATTTCTAGAATGGTCCACAGAAAGGTGAGACGCTCACTTGTAGGGTGGCTGGGTGGTCGTGGACCCGCTCCGGGCATCACGTGGTGCCAGTGAGTCACTGACAGGCAGGGAGACACACGCGTCCTTTGTGTCTGACACGGTGGTTGTTTTTTTAAAAGTTTGTGTGTGGATTTAATTGGAAGGCAGCGTTGAATGAGGCCGATAACAGAGGCAGACTGGCGGAGGTCTTCCTCTGCTTCCTGAATGACCCCAAGTGCCAGGGCTCGGCCGGGCTGAAGGCACAAGCAGGAACCCAGGCAGGTTCCCAGGGAGCTGCCAGGGACCCACCTCCTCGCACCGCCTCCCGCTGCCTTCCCAGGCACAGCAGCAGGGAGCTGGACCATAAGGGGAGACGCCAGGGTTCATGCCAGCACCGTGTGTGGCCGCTGAGTCCCCAAGTGGCCACAGCGGCCAGTGCTGTGCCGATCCGAAGCCAGGAGCCTCTTCCCCAAGCGGGTGCAGGGTCCCGAGGCTGTGGGCCGTCCTCCACTGCTTTCCCAGGCCACAGGCAGGGAGCTGGGTGGGAAGTGGGGCAGCCGATATATGAGCCAGCACCCCCATGCGATCCCAGCACATGCAAGGCAAGGACTTTTCCCACCATGCTACTGCACTAGGCCCAAGTTTTGTATTTTTTTTTTTTCCATAAAAAGAGAGTAAGGACAGAATTCGTTTCTTGAAGCTTCTATGGCAGAATTGTGGGTCCGGCCGGATGCATGGCCGGCGGGTAGGAAGGCTGCAAAGAGCCAGAGGAAGTCTGCCAAGAAAAGTGATCTATTGTGAGAAAGCGGCGCGTCTGTGGGGATGTCTGCTTTATGAAGCCTGTGTCACGTGTCCCATCAGCGACTCCGTCCGGGAGACATTTCCCGGGCGTGATTTATCTCACTGGGGGACATGGGAACTGGGTGGGGCGCGGAAGCATGCTCGGAATTGCTGAGGGCCCTGGGCAGTCAGGCACGGGGAGTTGTTCTTTAAGATGCATTCAGTCACAGAGACGGGGCGGGGAGAGGAAGGACCTTTCCCAAATGGTCGCAATGTCCGGAGCTGGGCTGGGCTGGAGCCCCTCGCGGGGGCGGGGTCCCAGGCCGCGGGCAGGGAGCTGGGTTGGTAAGCCACGTGGGTGCTGGCATTGCAGGCAGCTGCTAAACCTTTTATTCCTTTAAGACACAACTCTGGGGCCCGGCACGGTAGCCTAGCGGCTAAAGTCCTCACCTTGAACGCACCAGTATCCCATGTGGATACCTGTTCAAGTCCCGGCTGCCCCACGTCCCACCCAGCTCCCTGCCTGTGTCCTGGGAAAGCAGTGGAGGACGGCCCACAGCCTGGGGACCCTGCACCCGCGCGAGGGGCTCCGGATCAGTCCAGCTCTGGACACTGTGACCACCTGGGGAGTGATCCAGTAGATGGTAGATTTTTGTCTCTGTCTCTCCTTCTGTCCTATGGAATCCCAGTTACACGCAAGGCGACGACTTTAGCCACTAGGCTATTGCACCGGATCTCCTCATTTCACTTTTGCCGCAGCTGCTGGAGACAGAATCTTGCCGGGCCCCTTGAGGCCTTGCCCTCTGACCTGTGAGTCACACGCACCTTCCCTTCCTTACCTGCCCCTCAGCTGTCACGCTAAACACTTGACAGGAACGAACTCACCCACTTCCCGGCCTCCCATCAGCCGGACGCTGCTTCCTGGAGCGTGGAACTGACATGCCATCCACCAGGCAGGTCCTACGAGGCTCCTCCTCGCCGAGGGGAAGGGGTGCTACCCCCGACACACACACCCCGGAACGTTCCCCAGCACCCTTGTTTGTCTTTGCTGGGTTCCCCATACCTCGTCCCCCAGCAGACGACCACTCATCAGGTGCAGCTGCTGGAATTCAGATGCCTGCACTTCTCAAACTTTAATGTGTGTTTGAGAGAGAAAGGCGGGTTCCCTCTGCGGAAGTTGGGGCTGTGGAAGTTGGGGCTGAGCCGAGAGTCAGGAAACTAAGCCGGGCTTCCCGTGTGGGTGGGTGAAGCTGGGCTCTCCCACCACCTGCCGCCTCCCGAGCGGGAGCTGGGTGCAGAGCTGGAGCGGCAGCGGGCGTCTGACACGGACAACGGGCCGCCAAACGCCAAGGGCTGACGGGGATTTCAAAAAGCTCGGGAGACACACCGTGAAATAGATGCGTTTAGTTTGCAGCAGAATGATTTTGAAACCCAGGTGTCGTCTGTGTTCCTAACACCCCTTTTCCATGAACTGATTCCAGGTGCCTTTGTATTGCATTATATTTGCACGGGAGTCGCGTGGTGGTGGGAACTGCTGAAACAGCCGCTTTGACTGCGGCAACCCACGTCAGCTTCCCTGTCAGTTTCGCAGCTCCCTGTGGATGCAGCGCCCTCCCTCTGGCCTGGGCGCGCAGCAGAGGGTCCCAGTTCCCTCCCTCTGGCCTGGGCGCGCAGCAGAGGGTCCCAGTTCCCTTCCTCTGGCCTGGGCGCGCAGCAGAGGGTCCCAGCGCCCTCCCTCTGGCCTGGGCGCGCAGCAGAGGGTCCCAGTTCCCTGGCGCTGGCCTGGGCGCGCAGCAGAGGGTCCCAGTTCCCTGGCGCTGGCCTGGGCGCAGCAGAGGGTCCCAGCGCTCTCCCTCTGGCCTGGGCGCGCAGCAGAGGGTCCCAGTGCCCTCCCTCTGGCCTGGGCGCGCAGCAGAGGGTCCCAGTTCCCTTCCTCTGGCCTGGGCGCGCAGCAGAGGGTCCCAGCTCCCTGGCGCTGGCCTGGGCGCGCAGCAGAGGGTCCCAGCGCTCTCCCTCTGGCCTGGGCGCGCAGCAGAGGGTCCCAGTGCCCTCCCTCTGGCCTGGGCGCGCAGCAGAGGGTCCCAGTGCCCGGGTTCCTGGCACCCACGTGGGCGACCCTAGATCTCGGGTGGGCGTGGCCTGCAGGCGTGTGGGCGGGATCAAGACCTTGCAGAGTGGGTGGGGCCGTGGCGCCGCTGGGCGGGGCCTGAACCCGGATTGGCTGGAGCAGGAGTGGGCGGGACTGGGATGCGTAGTGATTGGGATCAGCTCCTGGCAGGGGCGGGGCCAGGACTGCGGGGTGGGCGGGGCTTGGGTAGCGGAGTGGGAGGGGCCAGGAGCAGCGCGCAGGCGGGGTCGGTCGTTCTGTGCAGTGGGCGTGACCAGGCCTCGGTCGGGGCGTGGTCGGGCGTGCGGTGGGCGTGGAGATGGGCGGAGCCTGCCTGTCCTGGGGCGCTGAGAAGCTCGCGCACGCGCGTTACGGCGGTTTGGAGGTCGGCGGGTCGGGCCTGGCCGTGGTGTGGACGGCGGCCGGGAGGCCGGGAGGAGCATCGGGAGGCCGGGAGCACCGGGAGAAGTACCGGGAGGAGCACCGGGAGCACCGGGAGGCCGGGCCGGGGCCTCCCTCAGCCCGCCAAGATGGCCGCGGCGGCGCGCGGGGCTCCCGGGGTCCGGCGGGCGGGCGCGCGCTGAGCCGAGGGGGGCTGCTTGGTTCAGGGGGCCCTGTGCACCGGGCCCTGTGCACCCGGCCCTGTCCACCTGTCCCTGTCCACCGGCCTCTGTCCACCGGCCTCTGTCCACCTGTCCCTGTCCACCCGGCCCCTGTCCACCTGTCCCTGTCCACCTGTCCCTGTGCACCGGGCCCTGTGCACCAGCCCCTGTCCACCTGTCCACCTGTCCCTGTCCACCCGGCCCTGTCCACCTGTCCCTGTCCACCTGTCCCTGTCCACCGGCCTCTGTCCACCAGCCTCTGTCCACCTGTCCCTGTCCACCCGGCCCCTGTCCACCTGTCCCTGTCCACCTGTCCCTGTGCACCGGGCCCTGTGCACCAGCCCCTGTCCACCTGTCCACCTGTCCCTGTCCACCCGGCCCTGTCCACCTGTCCACCAGCCCCTGTCCACCCGTCCCTGTCCACCTGTCCCTGTCCACCGGCCTCTGTCCACCTGGCCCTGTCCACTGGGCACTCTGCACCAGCCCCTGTCCACCTGTCCCTGTCCACCCTGTCCCTGTCCACCTGTCCCTGTGCACCGGGCCCTGTGCACCAGCCCCTGTCCACCAGCCCCTGTCCTCCAGCCCCTGTCCACCTGTCCCTGTGCACCGGGCCCTGTGCACCAGCCCCTGTCCACCTGTCCCTGTCCACCCGGCCCTGTCCACCTGTGCACCGGGCCCCGAGCGCCTCCATGAACTCGGTGTCACCGGCTGCCGCGCCATACCGGAGCCCGGAGGAGAGCCGTCGGCCGCGTGCAGCACCCCACCTTCCCGACCCCCGCGGCTTGGGGCGCCCCGGATCCAGCCTTGCCGTGTCCTCCTCCCCGGTCACCGCAGGGGCTGCTGCCGCGGAGGAGCCCGACGAGGTGGACAAGTTTAAGGCCAAGTGTCTCACGGCCTGGAACAATGTCAAGTATGGTGAGGAGGCGCCCAGCGCAGCCGGGGGGGACCCCTTTCCCCCAAAAGTTGTCCCCCCGGGCAGCACAGGCTGACCCCCCTGGGCAGCTCTCCTGTGTCACCTTGGGCAGGGTGCTCCTCTGTGGGTTACTTACTGCATCTTGAAAATGGGCGCAGCGACCGGAAGTGCATTTCTGCCTGTTGCATGAAGGGTGGACACTCCCTTGGCTAGTCATGAGTTGTGGTGGTTGGGGGCGGCCAGCAAGCAGGGATGGAAGAGTGACCATCCCGGGACAGGATCGTGCCCGTTTTGCCTGGACGCTCCGTGGCTGACCATGGCCGCCCGACATCTCCCCAGGTTGGGCCGTCAAAAGCCGGACCAGCTTCAGCAAGATCTCCAGCGTGCACGTCTGTGGCCGGCGCTACCGTTTCGAAGGCGAGGGTGAGCTGCTGGCTGCCTGCCGCCAGGCTTGGGCGAGTCGAGGACGGGCAGGCTTGTCTTCGGTGGCAGCTGACAGCAGGGCTGTTGTCACCCAGGGGATATTCAGCGTTTCCAACGGGACTTCGTGTCCCGCCTGTGGCTCACGTACCGCCGAGACTTCCCGCCCCTGGCCGGGGGCTCTCGGGGCTACCTGACCTCTGACTGCGGCTGGGGCTGCATGTTACGCAGCGGCCAGATGATGCTGGCACAGAGCTTGCTGCTTCATTTCTTGCCCAGGGGTGAGTATGGGATGACAGCCACCACCCCCAACCCTGGGGGCCACGCGGGTCCACGCCCACAGGACTCCTGCTAGAACAAGAGTTTGCGGTCCCCCGTGAAAATGTAGTTTGGGGCTGGAGTGAGACTCGTTTACCATGGGAAGGTTCCAGTTAAATATGGGTTTGTGGGTGGGGTGAGGAGGTGGGCACCAGTGCGCACACACACCTAGGCTGTGCATCCTACTCCCTGCAGACTGGACGTGGGCCGGGGCCCTGGGCCTGGGTACGTCTGAGCCGCCAGGGTCGGCCTCTCCCGGCCGGTACCGGGGGCATGCCCGGTGGACGCCCCCACGCCGGGCCCAGGGCACCACGGAGTTGGAACATGAGCGGTGCCACCGGCAGATTGTATCCTGGTTTGCCGACCACCCCCGGGCCCCCTTCGGCCTGCACCGCCTGGTGGAACTCGGGCAGACCTCAGGCAAGAAGGCGGGGGACTGGTACGGGCCGTCGCTGGTAGCCCACATTCTCAGGTGAGGGCCGAGGCGGGGGCCACGGGGGCCGCTGGCGTCTCCCCCGACCCGGGCCACTCAGCCCCTCCTTCCTGGCCCGTAGGAAAGCCGTGGAGAGCTGCTCCGAGGTGTCTCATCTGGTGGTCTACGTGTCTCAGGACTGCACAGGTAAGGGGCTGGGGGCCAAGGTCACGGGCAGCCTGCTGACCAAGGTCATCCGGTGGCCCCAGCTTGCCTCTGGGACGGAGGAGGGACGCTTGGCAAGTTGTTGGCAACCCTCGTCTCTGACCCTCCCCCAATCCCAGGAGCAGAAAAATTACTTGATTTTTAAAAACAAAGTTGTATTTGTGGAGCCGGCAGGCACAGCCAGTTAACACCGCCAACTCGCAGAGCCTCAGCTGCTCTGTTTGTGTCTCAGCTCCCTGCTCATGGGCCTCGGGAGCACCTGTCACATTGTGGGAGAACAGGACGGGGCTCCGGGCTCCTGGCTGCTGCCTGACCCAGCCTTGGCCGGCCGGTGGAAGCATTTGGGCGGTGAACCTGCAGACAGAAACTCTCTGTCCCTGTGCCTCGAAACATATAAACAAAGAGATTGAAATGTCTGTTTATTTGAGACAACTGCCCGCAGCAGCCAGGAGCCAGGACCTTCATCCAGATCTCCCCTACAGGTAGCCGTTGTTAGCCGCCATCTCCCAGGGCGTGCACTGGTTGGAAGCTGGGATCCGGAATGGAGTCAGGACTCGAACCCAGGCCTTCTGGTCCGGATGTGGGTCGCCCACTCGCCCAGTGGCACCTTAACCTGTGCCCCAAACACTCTTCTGGAGGCATCTCCTTGCACAATGTGCGGGTCGAGACACCAGCTCATCCTCTCCTCGAGTCCGCCTTCGCTATAAATCCACCAGCAAGTGCAGGTGCCGGAGCCTGGGCTGGTCTGCCTGGTCAGTGTGACCAGGAATGCTGGAGCCCCTAGAGCTGGGCACAAGGCTGGGCTTGGTTTAGGCTGGTGCCAGGGAAGCCACATGCCCGTGCTTTTCCATGCCCTGTTTGCAGGTGTGGCGGCTGTGCTGTGCTGTGTTGGTCTGAGAAGGGCCCAGGCTCAGCAAGGGAGAAGGAAGGCTCAGAGGCCACTTGAGCCCAGAGGGGCCTGGAGCAGTAGGGCTCCCCTTGGGAGATGTTCACCAGAGCCACTGAGGACCGCCTAGGGAGGGGCTCCACCTGTCCCCTGCCCTGAGCTGTGGGTCTGAGTGGCAGGCCCTTAGTCATTCCTGCTGTGAAATGGGCGTGTGCACACACACCCCTGCCCGGAGCTCCCTGGGGTCGGAGGGCACTGGGCGGACACTTCGATGCTGGCCGTAACAGCTGCGAGTCTGCATGGGGGCGGGGGCCCTGGGGTTACCGGTCACCTGGCAGCGTGTGGCGTGACCTGCTGCCCTGTCCCTACAGTGTACAAGGCAGACGTGGCCCGCCTGGTGGCCATGCCAGACCCCGCTGCCGAGTGGAAATCTGTTGTCATCCTCGTGCCCGTGCGGCTGGGTGGCGAGACCCTCAACCCCGTGTATGTGCCCTGTGTGAAGGTAGGTTCCGGCTGATGGCAGGCGCCTCTCCCTGGGGGCCCTCCAGGCTTTCTGTCTGCAGTTCTCTGGTCCCCTCGTCTCTTTAACCAACATTTGGGGAGCATGCGCTGCACGCCAATGTCCCCACTGCTGGGGGTTCAGAGCTGCCTGGAACAGCCAAAGCCGTGCCCACATCTTGGGAATGGTGGGACCACATTTACTCTCAGATGCTAACAGGGCAAGTTTCAGGGTGCAGTGAAGGGCCCAGGAAATCCCTTCCCCAGCCAACAGACGTGGAGGGGCAGAGGACCGGTGCTTCCAGCCGACCCCAGGGGCTGCAAGGGCCCTCCTGGGTCAGATACATCCCTGGGTCTCCCAGCGCCCCCCAGAGGCAGTGTTGACACTCAGTCTCCTCTGTCCCCTGAGGAACATGAGGCCTTTGCCAGTACCTCACCTCTCGGGACATTCACGGGCGTGACCATGGGTGTGTCTGGCTGTTTCATAGCAATGTGGGATTCCAGGCTGTTTTTTTTTTTTTTTTTAATTTTTTCATTGCATGCATTTCCAGGAACTTTGCGAAGCCCGTATTTCCTGCTTTATTCTTTTTAAAAAAAGATTTGAGGGCCTGGTGCAGTAGCCTAAGGTGGCTAAAGTCCTTGTCTTGCATGCACCAGGGTCCCATATAGGCGCCGGTTCCCACTTCCCAGCTGCTCCACTTCCCACCCAGCTCCCTGCCTGTGGCCTGGGAAAGCAGTGAGGACGGCCCACAGCCTGGGGACCTGCACCTGTGTGGGAGACCCGGAAGAAGCTCCTGGGTCCTGGCTTCAGATCGGCTCAGCTCTGGCCATTGCAGCCACTTGGAAAGTGAACCAGTGGATGGAAAATCTCCTTTCCTTTACAAAAAGGAAATTTTCCTTTTTGTAAAACTGACTTTCCAATTTTAAAAACAACAACATTGAAAGGCAGAGAGGATCAGAAGAGATCTTGCACCTGTTGGCTCACTGTGTGCGGCAGGAACCCGAGGCCTGGGCCGCCTCGCAGGTGTGTAACAGAGCTAGACCGCGAGCCGGGTGCTGTCGTCCCAGGGAGCGGTTTACCACGCTGTGCCACGGCTCCTTTCCCATAACGTCACCACTGGCTGTCCAGTGAGGCCAGTCATGTTTTTTTTACAGATGTATTTAGGGCCCGGCACAATGGCGCAGTGGTTAAAGTCCTCGCCTTGCACGCCCGGGATCCCTTATGGGCGCCGGTTCTAATCCTGGCAGCTACACTTCCCATCCAGCTCCCTGCCTGTGGCCTGGGAAAGCAGTCGAGGACGGCCCACAGCCTTGGGACCCTGCACCCGGTGGGAGACCCGGGAGAGGCTCCTGGCTTCTGATCGGCATAGCATCGGCTGTTGCGCTCACTTGGGGAGTGAATCATCGGACAGAAGATCTTCCTCTCTGTCTCTCCTCTCTGTATTTCCACCTTTCCAATAAAAATAAATACATCTTTTTTTTTTGAGATTTATTTTATTTTTATTGGAAAGGCAGAAATACAGAGAGAAGGGGAAAGAGAGGAAGATCTTCCGTCTGATGATTTATTCCCCAAGCGGCTCCAACTGCCAGTGCTGTGCCGATCCAAAGCCAGGAGCTGGGAGCTTCCTCCGGTCTCCCACCGGGTGCAGGGTTCCAAGGCTGTGGGCCGTCCTCCACTGCTTTCCCAGGCCACAGGCAGGGAGCTGGATGGGAAGTGGAGCTGCCAGGATTAGAACTGGCACTCCTATGGGATCCCGGGCGTGCAAGGCGAGAACTTTAGCCACTACCCTATCGTGCCCGAGCCCAAGGTCAGTCATTTAACTCATCTTGTCCCTCGTCCATCTCCATGCTGTGCTCAGGACCCAGCCTGGTCACAGCTGTCCTGCAGGTCTGGCACCTGCTCCATGCTTGTTGAGCGGCTGCTTGACAGCTCCTCCCTCAGCCTTGTCCACTCACCTCCCCGCAGGAGCTGCTGCGCTTGGAGCTGTGCCTGGGCATCATTGGGGGCAAGCCGCGGCACTCACTGTACTTCATTGGCTACCAGGGTAGGCCCTGTCCCCCTGGGCTCACGTCTACCCCGCTCCCCTGGGCTCGTGTCCACCCTCCCTCGCTCCCCTGGGCTCGCGTCCACCCCGCTCCCTCCCCGGGCTTGCGTGCACCCTCCCTCGCTCCCCTGGGCTCGCGTCCACCCTCCCTCCCTCCCCTGGGCTCACGTCCACCCTCCCTCCGCTGGGCTCGTGTCCACCCTCCCTCGCTCCCCTGGGCTCACGTCCACCCTCCCTCGCTCCCCACAGATGACTTTCTGCTCTACCTGGACCCCCACTACTGCCAACCCACTGTGGACGTTAGCCAGGCTAACTTCCCCCTAGAGGTGAGCCTGGCCTCCCTGGGCGGGGCTGTGGTGGGGGGCACAGGGTACCCCTGAGCATCTCCCTGGGCAGGGCTGTGGTGGGGGGCACAGGGAGGGTACAGGGTACCCCTGAGCATCTCCCTGGGCAGGGCTGTGGTGGGGGCACAGAGGACCCCTGAGCACCCCCCTGTCTGCCCAGTCCTTCCACTGCACCTCCCCCCGCAAGATGGCCTTCACCAAAATGGACCCGAGCTGTACTGTGGGGTTCTACGCCGGAAACAGGAAGGAGTTTGACACACTGTGCTTGGAGCTGACCAGGGTGAGCCGAGGAAGGCGGGGGGACAAGCAGAGGTGCACCAGGGGTTCTGGTGTGGCAAGGGGCTGCTACCTGAGCTCTGGAAACAGCCGCGTGCATGCCCACCTTGACCAAGGCAGGCACGCTGGTCAGGGTCATCCTACGCAGGAGGGCAGCTCCCCCCAGGACACTTCCCTCTCTGCCTCGTGGCGGTTCATTAGAACCAAGGCCACTTTTGCAGTAGCTCCCGGAAGATGCCAGGGCTGCTCATTGGCTAGGGAGGGTCATGTGCTCCCCAGAGCCAATCACAGGGCTGGAGGGGAGCACCTGCTGGCAGCAGGCAGCTTTGGGACACACATCCAGCACCTTTAACATCGCCAGGGTCAAGGTTGTGGGCGTTCCTCAGCTGGCAGCTGAGCCTCCCTCCTCTGCTCCCCACCAGGTCCTCAGCTCCTCCTCGGCCACGGAGCGGTACCCCATGTTCACTGTGGCCGAGGGCCACGCCCAGGATCACGGTGTGGAGGACCTGTGCTCCCAGCTCTCGGCCCAGCCCCTGCTGCAGCTCCCGAGGCCCGGGCTGCTCCTCAGGGCCCAGCGGCCCAGCTCTGAGGACTTTGTGCTTTTGTGAAGGGGAGGGGACGTGTGCGCGTGCGGGGAGAGGCAATGCTATTTATTTTTTTATTTATGTCTTTGGGTGTGGGAATTCACACTCTGCCAGGGAAGTGGCATTTCCCTGGTGACCGCCCTGCCCGAGGCCAAGCTCAGCCTGGGAAACCGGGGCCACTCGGCCTCGGCCGCCATGCAGCCCGCCAGGCCTCAGGCCTTCTGGGCACCCACTCAGGGTCTGACTTAAGTACTGTACTTTGCACTGGACCAGTCGTGTCCCTTGGTGGTTCCAAAGGTCCTGCTGAGGACTTAATAAAAGCTGTTGGATTTGACCGTGGTGCTGATGCCGAGGGCCTCCGTTTACACATCTGGAGGATGCGGAGGCTCCCTTGTCTGCAGGTGGACAGAAGGTTCCAGGATAAAGGCAGAGCCCAGGCAGGGGCTTGCAGCCCCCCTCGTGGGCCCCGGCTGCACCCCAGTCCTCAGTGGAGGCCCTTGGAGCCCTGCTTCTTCTGCTGCTGCCGCCTCAGCTGGCGGAAGTGCAGCCTTTTTGGGTTTAGGCCGAAGGCTTGCAGTCTCTGGTGGCTGAACTCGTGGCCACCCAGCGTCACCGTGGGGCCCAGCAGCCGGGCCTTCTTGTTCCTCCTCCGCTTCTGGGGGGCTGGCTTCTTTGGAGCTGACTCTGGGGCCCCGTCTTCCTGTGCCGGGGGGCTCTCGGGGCGGGGCCGCTTCCCCTGCGACCCGTTGGGCACCGACAGCGGCCCAAGCGCATTGGCCTTATCTCCCTGTGGCTTCCTTGCGGCTTCCGTGGGCACCTCCGTCCTGGGGGGGTGGGGGGACAGCGTGAACACAGGCCAGGCACAGGGGCTCCGTGCTGCACACCAGCACCCCACTGCACGGAGGGGGGAAGGTAGAGGCAGCAACCTGGCGATGCTGGGCCTGCCTGCATTCTAAACTGGGGCTGCTGCTCACTGCTGGACCGAGTGGCGTGGTCTTGTAGCACAGTGGGTTAATAAGCCATTGCTTGGGACATCAGACTGAAGTTCTGACTGCTATGCTTCTCATTCAGCTTCCTGCCACCGTGCCTGGGAGATGGTGGCAGATGGCCTGGGGCCTCTGTCACCTCCATGGGGGACCCCCTGCCTCCAGCCCAGCCCCACTGTAGCAAGCATTTGGAGGGAAGCAGTGGGTGGGAGATGTCTGTCTCTCGCCTTTCAGATAATCAATGCTAACATTTAACTCGGCTTTGTAGCAGCTGGCTGAGCTTCTGTCACCCATTCTCCATTCCCCTCCCAAACTTTAATTTATTTGAAAGGCAGAGTAACCAGACCCCACGCGGTAGCAGAGTGCCTAATGTGCTCGTCCTGCACCTGCCAGGATCCCACATGGGCACAGGTTCATGTCTTGGCTGCCCCACTTCTCACCAAGCTCCCTGCCTGTGGCCTGGGAAAGCAGTGGAGGACAGCCCAAAGCCAGGGGACCCTGCACCCGCTCCTGGCTCCTGGCTCCAGACTGGCTCAGCTCTAGCTGTTACAGCCTTTTGGGGGGGGGGGAATGAACCATCAGATGGAAGATATCTCCCCTCCCCTCCCCTTCTGTCTGACTTTGCCTTTCAAATAAATAAACTGGTCTTAAATAGCACAAAACTGAACAGCTGCTACCAGAGTTGGCATTCAGACGCGTGTGGGAGACTGCTGTCTGAAGCCACAGCCTGACCCCTGGCAGCCTCGGCTGCTGTGGCTTCGTACACTGTGGAGTCATGGGAATCCACTCGGTAACCGAGGACCTGACCACACGAGCCATGGGCCAGTAGCGTGGGGCAGGCACTTGGCCAATGTGATAGGCAGCGGCCGCCTGGCCAGGCCTGGCACCCCAGGGGTTCCCGACCCAACCTCCCTCCAACTCGGGCATGCTCACTCTTCAGCACACAGCGACTTGAAGATCTGTCTCTTCTTCCACGTGTTGCGTGCCTTCTGGCTGTATGCCCTCTTGTCCTGTAGCTCCTCCTGCTCTGACCTGCAGAGGCCAGGCACCTGTCTGTCAGCTGACACTCTGGGCACCACCTGCATTCCCGCCCGACCCAGCCCGGCCCATCTTTCCCCCGGCTCCGGCCAGTCCTAGCCCAGCTCTGCCCCGGCTCCCGCCAGCCCCAGCCCGGCTCTGCCCCGGCTCCCGCCAGCCCCAGCCCAGCTCTGCCCCGGCTCCCGCCAGCCCCAGCCCGGCTCTGCCCCGGCTCCTGCCAGCCCCAGCCCGGCTCTGCCCCGGCTCCCGCCAGCCCCAGCCCGGCTCTGCCCCGGCTCCTGCCAGCCCTGGCCTGGGCACCTGTACATGCAGGTCTTCTTCAGTGAGCACCACCGGTTCAGCTCCTTGTCGTCCGCGGCCAGGATCTGGGGGGCAGGGGAATCAGGTAGGACTCCTGCCATGTGATTTCCCAGGGAGCCCCTGAACTGGAACCCAGCCTGCCAGGCACCCTTCACGAGCCAGCACAGGCTGCACAGCCACGAGGAAGGGCCTGACGTGAGGCTTGTTGCACAGATGGGGATACTGAGGCATGCCGTAAGTCACCAGTCTGTCAATGGTGAGCTTTTATCACCCGAGCTGTATTTAAATGAGCGAGGCCACTGTTGCTACGGCGTCTCTGGGATGAGGCACGGGGCCCTGGGGTGTAGCCCGGGCTGTGTCCCCCTCCGCTGCCCAGGGTCCCCACCTCTTCGGTGCTCAGCCCGAAGTCACAGGGAACCACGCTGCGGTACTTGAAGCGACAGGGCAGGTCATCAATGATGTCCTCGTAGTCCAGGCGGTAGTACTCGTCCAGGTACTCCTCAAATGTCTTGTCCCCTGCAGGGGGGACAGCCAGGCTGCCGGGGTGGCCCAGAGCCCAGGGAGCCCGCAGCCCCCCGCGCGGCCCCAGCCCGGCCAGCCTCACCAGGGTCAAACACTGGCTTCTCCTGGCCCACGGCCGCGGCGAAGGGCGACCTGCGTTTCTTCTTGCCCGATGCGGGCGGCTTGAGCTGCTTCTTCCGCGGCTGGCTGGGGTCGTAGTCAGCGTCCATCTGCAGAGGCGGGCGGGCTGGACGTGGGCGGCGCTCAGGGGGTCCTAGGTCCCGCCCTGAGCCTTGCACACCCAACAAGAAGTCTCCCCAAGCCCACTCACATTAAAGTCGGGATCCTCGCAGTGTGGCTCATGCTGGCTCCAGGCCCCGTCCTGCTCGAGCCCGTCCCACCTGTCCCAATTCCAGTCATCTGGTTCCGGAAGGATGGCCGAGGTCAGGGCAGGAGCCGGGGGCTCTGGGCCCAGCGCCCCTGCCCAGCCCCAGGCGGACCTCACCTTCCAGCCCTTCCTCCTCCTCAAACTGTGGCTTCTCCTCCTCCGTAGCGCCGTAATACTCATCGCCAAAGCACTTCTGCGGGGTCAGGGCACGGGGTTGCACGGTTCACCCCTGGCAGGCCAGTGGAGCGTTCCCCCCAAAGCCCCTTTCTGGCCCCAGAAAGCACCCTAGACAGCTTTGCCCCTGCCCAGGCCTTGGTGGCTCCCCAGGGACCCTTGGGACCCAGCTCCTGACACGGGGGGACCCTGTGGGTCCAGGTCCCCCACCCAGTACCCTCTGCAATGCTTGCTCCCTCCCTCAGTGCCCACTCAGTCCTCAGGTGTACACTTAGCTGCCCCTCTGCTCGACCAGCCAGGTAGGGACGTTAAGACCCCACATGCCAGCAAGGTGGACCCTTCTCCTGCCGTGGGATCCGGGAGGCCAGCCTGAGCGCTTGGGCCCCTGCACCCACGTCGGAGACCCTCATGAAGCTCGGGCCTGGCTCAGTTCCGGCCACTGCAGCCATCCGGGGAGTAACCCAGTGGATGGAGGATCTCTGTCTCCCATTGTTTCAAATGAATAAGTAAATGTTTAAACAGATCACAAGAAAAAGGGGGAAAAAAAGAAGGAATTACAAGGAAATGTGATCCTTGAATTGCAATGCTCCCACTTGCAACTGTCTGATTTTCTAGAATGGTGCAGAAGCCAGAGTATGTGGGAGCAGCTGTCCTGTGAGCCCCACGTGGGCAGCTCCTCCCTGTGGTCACGAGTGGACTCAACCGCAGCCAGTCCCTCTGCTGTGCTCTCACGAGGTCAGGTGGCCCCACGGGCATGCCCCGCGGCAACTCGAGGGGGAATCTTCCTGAACATTCCAGCGCACGGAGCTTGCTGCACCCCTGACCTCGCTGCCCTCCTCAGACGAGCGGGGAGGGGCTCGAAGGGCAGGTGCCCGGCGCCCCCACGGTCCCCCGGAAGGTCAGGAGGGGCCGCACCTGCATGAGCTGGTCGTGGCGCGCCGGGTCGAAGTCCCCGTCCAGGTCCTGCTCCTCCAAGCCCAGCGTCTCGTTGCCCGTGACCTGCCGCAGCTTCTCCAGCTTCGCCAGAATCTCCTTCCGCTTCAGGTTCTTGAGTTGTTTCAGTTCTTCCTGCTTCTTGGCCTTCTCCTGCGGGCGGGGGAAGACGCGGGTGGGCCTGCGGGCGGGGGTGCGGGTGAGTGCCCGGGCCCCTCCAGCCGCCCACACGCCCACGCACCCTCCTCTTCCGCTCCCGCGTCTCTTCACGCTTCTCCTTCCGGCGCTCGTCCTTGCGCCTCACGGAGGATGCGATGCTGCGCGGGTAGGTCTTCACCTGGGGCAGTCCAGACAAGGCAGGCCAGGGAGGTGACTAGGGGTGGTCCAGGCCAGGGGCTGGAGGCTGGAGGCGGGGGGATCGGATCCCCAGGGCGCTGCTCCCCAGCCACGCACAGAGGGACCCGGGGCAGGCCAGGGAGGTGACTAGGGGTGGTCCAGGCCAGGGGCTGGAGGCTGGAGGCTGGAGGCTGGAGGCGGGGCGTTCGGATCCCAGGGTGCTTGCTCCCCAGCCACGCACCGAGGCCGAGTCCGGCTCCTCGAAGCGGAAGTTGTATTTGTGCTCAAAATCCTCCTGTTTCTTCAGGAACAGCTCGCCCTCGTCCGAGGAGTCGTCCACAGCCAGCTGCACTGGGGGGCCGGGGGTGCTGTGGATAAGATGGGGGCGTGGGGACGCCTAAGTGAGGTTCCCGCACACACCCTGGCGAGGCAGGCACGGGGACCCGTGCATTGATGATGATTCTCTCTCTTTTTTCAGTGATCTACTTCTGTTTATTTGAAAGTTACAGAAGGAGACAGAAAAAGTTTCATCTGCTGGTCCACTCCCCGAGTGGCCAGAGGGCCAGGATGGTCCAGGCTCGAGCCAGGAGCCTCCTCCGGGTCTCCCACGCAGGTGCAGGGTCCCCAGGCTGTGGGCCGTCCTCCACTGCTTTCCCAGGCCACAGGCAGGGAGTGGGGTGGGCGGTGGGGACAGAGGGACTCACCGCTCTTCCTCCTCCTCGTTTTCCGTGTCCTCCTCCTCGTAGCGCTTGTTGAGGATGTAATCCCGCAGGAACTGTTCCCCCTCCTCCAGCTCCGGGTTGTTCCAGTACTCCTTGAGGTAGGTCTGGGGGCAAGGAGGGGGCGGTGGCATGACCCAGGCCAGAGGGCAGACGTGACCCCCGGGTCGACTCAGGGAATGGAAACGGCCCAGCCAGGCTGATCCCCATTGTATGGATGGGAATACGGAGTCCCTCGGATGGGCACGGCTCGCCCCCACCCCGTGACCACCCGCGACCGCTCACCAGCTCCTTCAGGGATTCCGGGTCCCGGGCCTCCTTCTGTCCCTTCAGCCACTCCACGTAGTCTGCCTCCTCCTGGGCCTGGGTCGTGAGGGAGCCGGCACTGAGGGGTCTGCAGGAGCCCCTGGCGGCACCCCGCTGCTGTGGCCCCCAGCAGGCCATCCGGGCCTGGGCACCCACCTTCTCCTCCTGGCTCCTGGCTCGCTTCTGCAGCAGCCCGGAGCCCCCTTCTCCAGCGCTGTCCTCATCCTCGCTGTCTTCCACGAACGCGCGGAAGCTGTCCACACAGAAAAACGGGATTCAGGACAGGCCACCCCCTCCTAGCCTGCCCCCATTTCACAGATGTGCAAACCGAGGCTGTGAAGCCCGGTCCCCGCCCCAGCTCACCTCTCCTTGAGCTGCTGCTGCTCCTCCATATAACTTTTGGATGAAGCTGGCTGCAAGGGAGACAGCGATGTGGGCCTGGGCCGGGCCGGGCCTCAGTACCCCCACCATGGCCGGCCCACCCCACCCCTTACCTGGAGTCTCTGAGCTGAGCTCTCCTCGTCCGAGTTGTCCTCGTCCACATATTTGCTGGACAGGAAGGAGGGGGAACTCAGAACTTGACTGTCCAGGGCAGCTCGCTGGCCCAGCATGCGGGGGCTGCAGCCTTGGGCGTCTCTGGGGGAGTCCCCCCCACTCCCAGGCGCCTGCTTGGTTCTCTCATCTGCTTCTGCCCTGAGACCGTCTGTGGTTCTGAGAAGGCTGGGGCGGGCAGCGGGCGGGCCGGGACGAGGACGGACCACAGGCCACCTTACCCTCCCTTCTCCAAGATGACCTTCCGCTCATAGTCCTTCAGGTACATGGGCCGCGCTTTCTCCGGCTTCTCGGAAGTCGACGCTTCCTCTTCCTCCTCTGAGGATGAAGCTGTTGGCCCACACGGAGACCCTCACATCACCCACGACCCTCCTGGGCAGAGTCCTCACTCGCCCTGTTCCTTCCTCCCCCCACACCCCCTATGACAGAAAGACACAAAGATCCTCCAGCTGCAGGTTCACTTCCCATCTGAAGCCAGGAGCCAGGAGCCTCCTCCGGGTCTCCCACGCGGGTGCAGGGTCCCACGGCTGTGGGCCGTCCTCCACTGCTTTCCCAGGCCACAGGCAGGGAGCTGGGTGGGCAGTGGGGCAGCTGGGACTCACGTCGCACTTGATACTGGCCCAGTAACCAATCAGGATTAGTTTTAACGTGCCCTGGGCTTAGGACATTGCTGCATTCCACATCACAGACCACTGTCCTGCCCACAGCTCAGAGGAAGGTTTGTGCAAACGTGGCTGGAAATCAGATGAACACTGTGGGGAGACCCCACGGGGGCGCCCACACGCCGGATGGAAGACCACCCCGCTCAAGTTCTACCAGGGAAGAAGCAGGTGAGTGCCAGGCCCGCCAGACCTGGGCTCTGATAGAAGGTGGCATCTTTCTGGTAAATCCGAGGGTCTTTCTTCTTAAGCAGGGACAGGGTCCGGTAAAAGTCGCGCTCCTGCTGTGGGTCAAATTCCTAGGGAAAGGGGACAGGTGGGAGAGAAGGATTGGGGGGAAAACGGGGTGCAGCCGGGGAGTGAGTGGCAGGGAACACAGGTGTGCAGGGCAGGGGTCAGGGACAACACGGACGGGGTCAGGTGGGCTGGGACTGGCAAGGGATCCGAGCTGCCACGGCAAGTAGCAGGATGCCACGCTTGGTCCAGGGACTTGAGCACACTGGCAAGAAGGTGGAAGTCCTGGGGACCCCTGGACACTGGGATGTCTCTGTCCTGGGGTGCAGTGAAGGTCGGGGAGCCTGGGGACCCCTGAACACCGGGATGGCACCCCCGGGGGTGCAGTGAGGGTCGGGGAGCCTGGGGACCCCTGGACAGTTAGATGGCACCCCCGGTGTGCAGTGAGGGTCGGGGAGCCTGGGGACCCCTGGACACTGGGATGTCTCTGTCCTGGGGTACAGTGGGGGTCGGAGCCTGGGGACCCCTGGACACCGGGATGGCATCCCCGGTGTGCAGTGAGGGTCGGAGAGCCTGGGGACCCCTGGACACCGGGATGGCACCCCCGGGGGTGCACTGAGCGGCTAGGGCGCCTCGGACACGGCGGCGTGGACAGGAAGCCTACCACGCGCTCGTCGCTCGAGTCGGACTCGGAGCTCGAGTCGTCGCCGTCCCGGTCCCCGTAGCGATCCTTGACTGCGGGGTGCAGACGGGTGACCCTCCTCAGCACCCCCACCCATCAGGCTGGGCGGAGCGCCCCCATGCCCTCCCCTTGGCTCCGCCGCAGGCCCGGGCCCCGCCGCCGGCAGCCGCCGCACTCACGTCGCTGCAGCTCCTCGCGCTCCCGGTAGCGGCTGTACCGAGCGGCGAACGCCGCGTTCACGCGCAGAGGCGATGCCCCGCGCGGCTCCGGCATGGCGGCCTCGGGAGCCAGCGCGCACGCGCCGGGCAGACCCCCGGAGGGGCGTGGCTCGCATCGCGCACTGGCCAGTGAGAGCTTGCAGGGGGTGGAGCCAAAGCCTAGCCCCGCCTCCCTGCTAACCAGTGCGCACGCACCGGGCCAGCGGAGGGGGGCGTGGCTCCTCACACCCAGCTCTCCCCGTGGGCGGGGCCGCGCCCATCCCGGTCTCTGCGAGTCACCGCGCACGCGCCGGTCAGCGGGGGCGTGGTCTTTAGCAGGCACCGCCCCCTCATGGGCGGGGCCCGCCCCTTCCGGGCACCTGGCCGCTTCGAGGAAGGCCGCGGCCTGGCCCTGCCCTTCTGCCCGCCCTGCCCTCCTGCCCGCCCTGCCCTCCTGCCCGCCCTGCCCTTCCCTGTCCGCCCTGCCCTCCTGCCCGCCCGCCCTCCATCGGGGCTCCGGCCCGACATCTGGGGGCCCTTTCTCCATCGTGGTTTCCTGCCTCCCTTCCGGTCCGATAGCGCCACGCCCACCGCTGCCTCGCCCGCTTCCCCTGGGAATGACCGCTCCCCGCCCTGCCCCCAACGGCGCCTCCGTCTCCGGGACCCTCCCCCGGGGACCCTCCTCTCCTTCTGGAGACCCTCTCTCCCCCCGGGGACCCTCTCTCCCCCCGGGGACCCTCCTCTCCTTCTGGAGACCCTCTCTCCCCCCGGGGACCCTCCTCTCCTTCTGGAGACCCTCTCTCCCCGCCCCCGGGGACCCTCCTCTCCTTCTGGAGACCCTCTCTCCCCCGGGGACCCTCTCCCCCCCGGGACCCTCCTCTCCTTCTGGAGACCCTCTCTCCCCCGGGGACCCTCCCCCAGGGGACCCTCTCCCACCCCCCACTGCACCCCAAACTCCTAGATCCACGGATCCACGGGGAGGAGGGGGAGCAGAAAACAGCCACGCTAGGATATCATGCACAACTTTTAATTTAATGAGTAAAAAAAAAAAACATTAAATTATCACACAACAATTCTTTTTCATAAAACTGAATAAATAGAATCTATGGGGCTTGCCTTTTTTTTTTTTTTGGTTTTTGTTTTCAACACTGTCCAGGAGGCTGCAACACAACTTTCCCACGCAGCGCGAGCTCCTGTGGCCTTCCTCCTGGGGAAGGCTGCCCCGCAGCCCCAGCCAGCCGCACCCGTCTCCCCTGCGCCCACCGAGCAGGTGCACCCCGTCCCACCCGGAGTCCCGCCGGGGACAGCGGCCAGGAAGCCCTGGCACAGGACCCGGGGCTGGCAGGGGCTCCTGGAGCCATGGACTAGGCGGGGGAGACTGAACCGTTTTGTACGCGGCCGTGGCCCCAGGAGCCCATCCCAAGAGAGATAGAGAACAAGGCAGAAATGTCCCCCAGACACACACACTCACTCGCACACACCCCAGAAACCACAAACAAACGGGCGCTCCTCCGCCAGGGGCAGCAGGAACAGGGAAAGCCCTGGTCACAGCGGACGGCCCTGTAGGATGTCCAGCAGGTGCCGAGCCCCCGTCTGCCGCGCCAGCTCCAGCGGGGTGCGACCCCCGGCGTCCCTGTGCCCCAGATCCGACTCGGCGGCCAGGAAGCGGACCACGGCGGTGTGGCCCTCGCGCACGGCCAGGTGGATGGGCAGTGCCCCGCTGGCATCGGGCGCGTTGATGTCGGCCCCGTGGTCCACCAGGACCTTGAGCGTGTCCAGGAATCCGGTGCGGGCCGCGTCGTGCGCTGGGCTGGTGCCCCAGGCGTCCTGGACGTTGGGGCTGGCCCCTTGCTTCAGCAGCTCCCGTGCCACCGTGGGGTTGCCAAACATCATGACCTGCATGGGCACACACAGCAGAGGGTCAGGGGGTCCCCAAGCTGGAGGACAGGGCTCAGGGGGTCCCCAAGCTGGAGGACAGGGGTCGGGGGTCCCCAAGGTGGAGGACAGGGGTCAGGGGGTCCCCAAGCTGGAGGACAGGGCTCAGGGGGTCCTCAAGCTGGAGGACAGGGGTCGAGGGTCCCCAAGGTGGAGGACAGGGGTCAGGGGGTCTCCAAGGTGGAGGACGACGGGGTCCCCAAGGTGGAGGACAGGGGTCAGGGGTCCCCAAGCTGGAGCACAGGGGTCAGGGGGTCCCCGAGCTGGAGGACAGGAGTGGAGACCTGGCACCTTCTGGGAAAGGGGGGGCACCTTTCTCGCCCCCAGAAAGCCACTGTCGCCTTCAGGATAACAGCCCCCAACTCCGACTCCCAGTGTCCCCTCCCCAGGAAAGGTGAGTTCAGGAAATGGGGTCCCCCTAGACCTGACCGCCCCCTTGGGGGACGGGATGCTGCTCCTGTCCCCCGCCCCCACCACGCCCTCCTTCGCTCCCCCGCGGACCAGGAGGCCGAGCCCCTTTTCCTTCCCCTCTCCCCGCCCAGCTCTCCTTCACACCCTCCTGTTCCCTCGCGGACCAGGAGTCCAAGGAGGCAGAGCCCCTCTCCCCCTCCCTCTCTCCTTCTCCCCCTCCCCCTCTCCCTCTCTCCCCCTCCCCTCCCCTCCCCCTCCTCTCCCCTCTCCCCCTCCCCTCTCTCCCCCTCCCCTCTCTCCTCTCCCATCTCCCATCTCTCCCCCTCCCCTCTCTCCTTCTCCCCCTCTCCCTCTCTCCCCCTCCCCTCTCTCCCTCTCTCCCCCTCCCCTCTCTCTCCCATCTCCCTCTCTCCCTCCTCTCCCCCTCCTCTCCCCCTCCTCTCCCCCTCCCCCTTTCCCCCCCAGCTCTCCAGCCAGCAGCGGGGTGCACAGAGGGGCCCCGGTCACCTGCAGCGCCGTCTTCCCGAAGCGGTTCAGGGCGTCGGGGTGCACCAGCTCGCGGTGCAGCAGCCTGCGCACCCCGTCCACGTCGCCCCGGGCCGCGGCCCCGCTCAGCCGGTCCCCCGCGTGCACCTCGTCCAGGAACATGCTGACCACGCCGGGCCTGCAGGGCACGGCCTCCAGTCACGACCCCCAGCCTGCCCCGCCGGCTCCACCCCCCTGTCAGCCGGCTCCCACCGCCGGCCCAGCCCGGCGCCCGCCCCTTGGGGGCCGGGTCTCCCCCGAACTCACCCTCCTCCTCTTCCTCCTCCTCCTCCTGCGGCGCGCGGTGTGCGTTCTGCGGCTGCGCGGCCGCCCGCCAGACCGAGGCTGCAGGGGGCGGGGCCTGCGCGGGGGCGCGGCCTGCTCGGGCCCCGCCCCCTAGCTTGTTTTCTTCCAAACTCCAGCAGCGCCCGGCGGGCGTCCCACCCACCACGGGCCATGCCAACCAATCGCTGCGCGACTGCGGGGGGGCGGTGTCGCTTCTGATTGGCGGGAGCATAGACGTTCGATGGCGCGCCCCTCAAGGCGGGGTTTTTCGGATTTTCAAACTAGGCGGGCGGGAAAGGCGGCGGCTTTAACCGACTCGGGCGGCCGGCGGGGCGGGGCGGGAAGGCCCGGCTGAGGAACCGGGCGGGCTTGTCACACGGCGTATTCAGACGGGCGGTGCTGGGGAGGGACGAGGTGGGCGGCGCGGGGCGAGCCGGGCCTCCAGGGCGGCCGAGGGAGAGGGCGTGGGGGCGGCCGGGGCCCCCAGAGCTGAGGGAGGGAAGGCCGGTTGGGGAGAAGCGGTGGGAGCCAGGGCGGTGGGCGGTGGGGGAGTGTGCTGGGGTGCCGCGACCAGGGTCCCCCGGCCTCCGACACTGACAGAAATGTCGGGGTGTGTGTGCTGGGGTGCCGCGACCAGGGTCCCCCGGCCTCCGACACTGACAGAAATGTCGGGGGTGTGTGTCCTGGGGTGCCGCGACCAGGGTCCCTGGCAGCGTGTGGGGGACATTCTGGGGTGCCGTGACCAGGGTCCCCCACCCTCCGACACTGACAGAAATGTCGGGGTGTGTGTCCTGGGGTGCCGCGACCAGGGTCCCTGGCAGCGTGTGGGGGACATTCTGGGGTGCCGTGACCAGGGTCCCCCACCCTCCAACACTGACAGAAATGTTGGGGTGTGTGTCCTGGGGTGCCGCGACCAGGGTCCCTGGCAGTGTGTGGGGGGCGTTCTGGGGTGTGTGACCAGGGACCCAGCAGAGTCAGGGTGTGTGTGTCCGGGGGTGCTGTGCGGGTGGGGTGCCGCAGCTGGAACTGGGTGTGTGGTGGTCAGGCCGCGCCAGCCATCTCAAGCTAAGTGCACACACACATAGGGCTAGATGCATTGCTGTTGTTTTTAATGATACCCCAAAACAGAGCGGCCTCTGTGGAGGGAGGAGGGGCCCTGACACACCCCCCTAAGGCAGGTCGCTTCAGGAAGGCACTCAGGAAGGGGGGAGCTTCGGCCCCCTCAATTTCTTCATATAAAATCAGGGAGGAAGAGGGGGGGGACAGCAGCTCCGAGGCAGGGCAGGGTGGGTGTCCACCCCTCTCCCCAGGCCGGCCCAGGCTTCGGGGGGCCAGGGGTTGCTGTGTCTCACATACACGCACAACACATACCTCCACATACACACACCCTTGTACAGGCGGACACACTGCAAACATGCAAGCACACCTACACAGCCCGTGTGTGTGTCTGCGGGGAAGGTCTGTGTACCCAGGCCACATACATGCGAGCGCAGATATACACATGACCACACACACCCGTCTCCCTGCGGGGCCCTAGGGAGACAGAGCGGAAGGGCCCCAGACATCTCTTCCTTCTAGCTGGTTCGAAGCTGGTAATCTGCAGAGAAAAAGTGGGAACCCTGTGAGAACGAGGGGGTGGGGGCACGGGGGGGGGGGGAGGCCGGCCCTCTCGCCGCGCCCCGCCCCACCTCGCCCGACGCCATCCACCTGGGGGAGAGCCCTGGGGTGAGCCGCAAGAGGCCAGCACCCCGCCTCCCAGTGCCTGCCTGGGTTTGAGGTTCAGCTCCTGTACCCCCACACCCTGACAGGCAGCAGTGGTGGCGGCCAGAGTGCTGGGGGACCCGGGTGGGGCGCCTGGCTGCCTGCCTCAGTGTGGTCCCACGCAAGCCAGCGTGAGCATTTGGAAAGCGAGGCAGTAGATGCCTGCCTCTCTCTCTAGCTCTGCACCCCAAACCACAAACATGTTTTTTAAAAACATCTGTTTGTGCGGAAGCCACATGACAGCCACAGCGGAGCTGATCAGAGCCAGGGGCTCCATCCGGGTCTTCCATGGAGGCGCAGGGGCCCAAGCATGTGGGCCCACCTCCTCCGCTCTTTCCCAGGCGCGTGAACAGGGAGCCAGGAGGGAAGCACAGTGGGACTCAAGCCATGACTTTGGCATGAGACGTGGACCACCTGAGTGTACAGCTCAACCCTCGGCCCGCCCCCCAGCATCAGAGCTGGTGCTGTGGCATAGCAAGCTAAGCTTCTGCCTCCTGCGCCAGCACCCCAGAGTGGTGCCCGGTTCTAGTCCCAGCTGCTCCACTTCCCATCCAGCATTCATGTAGCAGAGGATGGCTCAAGTCCTTGGCACCTGCACCCCTGCCCCGTCACCTCCCTGCCCCTGTCACACAGCCTTCTTACCGCCACTCTGGGTGATGTAGCGTACCCAGGGCAGAGCTTGGTACCCACTCTTCTCAATAATTTTCATGTATCGGACCTAGGAGTGAAGAGAGGGCAGGGGCTGGGCTGGGGGGCAGGGAGAGGGTGGTACCCACAGACTGCCCAGCCTGGGGGAGGAACAAGCTGCTGGTTGTGGCGGGAAGGCCACGGCAGGCTGAGTGCCCGGGACAGCAGGAGTGGACATGGAGGACTGGCGGGGAGGGTGACGCGGCCCAGGGAGCGGAGGGGACTTGAGGAATGAGACCCAGCGAGGTCCCAGAGACAGAGGGGACCTCCCTGCCCACCGTCTCACCTGGATCCCAGAGACAGTGAAGTAGGGGATCTCAAACTTGACCCCGATGGGAGGCCGGCCCTCCACCTCCTCCTTCTCCACGCTGGGCAGGCCGAAGTGAGCTCGCATCAGATACTCCTTGCCACCCTGAGGGCACACGGGGGGCATCAGGCTTCCCACGGGACAGCAGTCACGCCACAGGGCAGCAGACACATCACGGGGTATCAAACACGCCACAGGGGCAGGCGCAGGAGGGGTCCTCCCAGCCAGGCTCACCCCCAAACAATCCCAGGGCAATGAACCCCTGGAAGCGGAGTTTGCAGGTGTGAAGGGGGGACTTCGGGTGACCAAGTCAGGGGTACCCCCACACTCAGAGCAGAAAGGCAAGGGAGGTGAAACCCACACCTGTGTCCCTGGTGTCCCATGTGGACGCCGGTTCTAATCTCGGGAACCCCGCTCCCCAGCCAGCTCCCCGCCTGTGGCCTGGGAGAGCAGTGGGGGACCCCGACTCAGTGCCTGGCTTCCTCCAGGCCGCGGGACGTAGGGTATCCCAGATGCAGCCTCAGCTTGCCTTCCCGTGCCCGCCACTCACCGGGAAGGATTTGATGCTCCAAATGACCACGTTCTTCTCGGGAACGTACTTGGCACTGCCCACGCTGGTCTTGAAGCGAGGGGAGTCGGCGTCGCTGGGCACGGGCACGGAGATCTCCACGCTGTTGGCCACCGACTGCTTCTTAAACTGGCCCTTGGCCTGCCCGGCGAGAGACGTGGGGAATGGGTAAGTCCCTCACGGGGTGGACGGGACAGCCACATGCCCCCTCTCAGAGCCAGGGTTCGAGTCCCGGGTCCCCGTTCATGTGCTCACGCTGGGAGGCAGCTGGGGATGGCTCGCCTACACGGGCCCCTCGCCCCCCGCGGCAGGCGCGGATGGAGCTCCCGGCTTCCGGCTCTGGCCTGGCCCAGCCTCCGGCTACAGAGCATGCCAGGAGGGAAGCAGTGGTCAGAACACCTCTCTCTGCTTCTGCCTCTCAAATAAGTGATAAAGCACTGGTGTCCGAGACAGGAAACAATGTTTACAGTCAGTGTGTATTTTGGTTTTAAAGATTGATGTTATTTTTATTGGAAAATCAGATAGACAGAGAGGAGAGACAGAGAGAAAAGAGCTTCCCTCCGCTGGTTCACTCCCCATGTGGCTGCAACGGCCGGAGCTGAGCCGATCTTAAGCCAGGAGCCAGGGGCTTCTTCCAGGTCTCCCACACGGGTGCAGGGTCCCCAGGCTGTGGGCCGTCCTCCACTGCTTTCCCAGGCCACAGGCAGGGAGCTGGGTGGGAAGTGGGGCAGCCGGGATATGAACTGGCACCCACAACATGAAGATTAAGCAAGTGCACTACTGTGCCAGGCCTTGTATGCCATGGCAGAGTTCGTGTGCGGCAGGCTGTCACCAACAGCACGTGCCCTGGGAGGGCAAGGCCAGCGCACGCGGCGACGCCAGGGGCCCCAGAGGGCACCGGCCACCAGCACCCTGGCCCGTCAGTGAGCACAGACTGTGTGCCATAATTATAGAGGAAAAACAATACAGCGAACTTGCAAGCGTGCAGGGGGCGTCGCCCAGAAGTTAAATCACCTGCAACGTCAGAGGTTCAAGGCCGGGCCCTGCTGCTGATGCAGCTCCCTGCTCGTGCGCTCCCGGGAGGGGGCAGCAGGCGAGGGCTCCAGAGCCCAGGCCCCAGCACCCACGCGGGGAGACCCAGATGCAGCTCCCCGCTCCTGGGGAGTCAACCAGCAGACGGAAAATGTCTGCTTCTCACGGAGGGGCCTGCAGGTGGGATGCCAAGGGAGACGGGAGGAGGTCAGCGCAGTCGGCGGGAAGAGGCACCCACCTTGACCATGATCTCCACGCGGCTGTGGGAAAACTTCTCGATGACAGACTCGATCCAGATGAGCGGCTTCACCTGCAGGTGCGAGAGGGGCGGAGCCTCAGCGCCAGAGCCCCGCCCCTGCCGGCAGGGACGCGTGCGCACTGCGCGGCCCGTCACCTGCGTGTTGAGGCGGTAGGACATGAGCTCGAAGTCGCCGTCCGGGGGGATGAAGGAGATGGTGCGGTCGTTGTCGAAGCGCGAGAGCCGCACGCACTGGTGGAACTTCACGTCCTCCAGCTCCACCGACTTGTTCTTGCTGCCTGAAACTCGAGAGCCCGGCGTCGGCCAAGGGGGACCCCCGGCCCCGCACCTGCCGCTACCAGCGCCTCAACAGAAAACCGAGCTAGCCTTGCTTCTCCGTTTATTGCATTAAAAAAATTTTTTTTCTTAAAGCCCACACAATGGCTCAGTCAGCTAATCCTCCCCCTGCAAGCACCAACATGCCAAGTGGACACTGGTTCCTGTCCCGGCTGCTCCCCTTCCCACCCAGCTCCCTGCCTGTGGCCTGGGAAAGCAGTGGAGGACGGCCCACAGCCTGGGGACCTGCACCCGCGTGGGAGACCCAGAGAAGCTCCTGGCTTAGGGCCTGGCCAGCTCGGGCTGTGGAGGCCAGCTGGGAGTGACCCAGCAGGTGGAAGAGCTCTGTCTCTCCCTCTTTCTTAAATAAATCTTTAAAATGTGTAGAAAGGCAGAGAGAGATGACAAGATGTCCTGGTCTAGTGGCTAAATGCCGTAGCGTTCAGGGCTGGAGCGAGACAGTCAGAGCGGTGAGGGACTCAGCCTGGGTCACCCGGGTGGGTGTCAGGGGCCTGAGCCCTCGGGCTGCGTTCGCGAGCAGCCGGAACTGCAGCCGGATTCGAAGCCAGCCCCTCTGATACGGATCGCGGCGTGGCAGAAGGCATCCTCCCCACGGAGGAGGGGTGGGGGGACTCGGGTTGTCATTTTTCTTGGTTGTGCATGGTTGGCACAAAAAAAAAACCCCAAAGCCAACTCAGGTGCCAGGGAGCGGCAAAGCAGCTGCAGCACCGCGCTGGGCCAGCAGGGGGTGAGCGCGTGCTGCAGAACGCCCCAGCTGGGCAGAGCAGATGGGGTGCAGGGACGGTGTGGGGTGCAGGGACAGTGTGGGGTGCAGGCACAGGGCTCCCCAGTGCTTACGGCCAGTGAGCTCGAAGAGCACGCGGTCGTTGAGGCCCAGCCGCAGCTCGGGCATGCCCGACAGGAAGACCTTGAGCTTGATGCTGCCCACCACCTCGCTGAGCAGCACGCTCCCGTTGGCGCTGACCAGCAGGTTCACCGACTCGATCACGTCGATAAACACCTCGTTCTTCTTGTACTTGAGGCCCTCGGAGCGCCAGGACACGGCGTTGGTCACGGTGGGCGGCACCCGCGACCTGCCCGTCTCCAGCTTGTTGCCCTGCTGCGTGATGTACCTGGTGCAGGGCAGGGGTGAGGCGTGGCTGGACCTGGAGGACACCAGGCCCTGCCCGGGACCCGAACCCTCGCTCTTCCCCCTCCTGGGACAGCGTTGGCCCCGCCCCTCCGCGAGGCCCCGCCCACACCCCACACTCACTCCTGCAGGATCTTGCTGTCGGTGGTCTGCGGGAAGCCGAAGTCCATGAGCTCGTCCAGCAGCTCGTAGACGATGACGAAGTTGTCGCGGATGCTCTCCTCCTCCAGCTCCTTGAAGTACTCGCAGAAGACCTGCAGGAGGGGCCCCTGCTCAGCACCCGGGATGGGTCGGCAGTCAGGACAACAGAGCGACCGCCGGGCCGGGACAGCTACAACAAGCTGGGAGAATGCCTCCGGCTCCTGATGAAAAGGTAATCTAGAATCGCTTCTTAGGAATGAACCATTTACGATGCTATGATGTTTTTGGTATTTTTTGCAGGCCCCAAAGGCCAGTGAAGCCTGCAGACACCAGGCCGTCTAAGATGTGCAAATACATAGAGATGCAGCACGGGGGCTGGCAGTGGTATGGAGCGGCTTAGCAGGACTGGCCCGAGTCCTGGCGGCTGTGTCTGGGAAGGCAGTGGAGGACGGCTCTGTCCACGTCTCCCGTGACGGTGGCCAGCACTGCGGTCCCCGACTGCCACCTGCTGCTTCCTGGGGTGCACAGAGCCAGGGCCCAACCCAGGTGCTGAGAAGGGCTGTGGGCCTCCCATGTGGCTGTCCCCAAGGCCCACCCCTTCCCCACGGGCATTCCTTCCGTGGGTTGATGTGTCCCAGTGCAGGGCTTGTCCTAGCAGCCAGGTTGGGGCACAGAGAGGGACCTCAGCTTGCACGCGCTCCCAGGACCGGCCATGGCTCCTGCTCCCAGCAGCAATGCTGGGGGTCTGGAATGGCCAAGTGCCGGCAGCCAGCAGCCCCGGCCAGATGACAGAGTGGCCGACCCATGAGGGGCCGGCAGGCCTACCTCCACCATCTTGTACAGAAAGGAATACACCAGCGAGGCGTTGGCGTTCTTCAGCGTGGTGGCCACCACTGAGGGCGGGAGGTTAGGGAAAACGAGCCGCACACCTTGAACCTCCAGCCCCACGCAGGTGGAGGCGGCAGCTGCGGACCTCGGCGCTGCCACCCCCGCCTGCCCAGCACCTGGGTTGGATACAGTATAAGTTGCTGTGTTTGATCCACAGGAAGTGGACCCGGCCGTGGCTCAGCAGCGGGGCCAGGGAGCCCTCTTCCTCATGCTGCATCAGCAAGGGCATGAAATGGTCGATCTCGCCCATGGGCACGTCGCCCTTGTAGTTGCGGCTGATCAGAGGCTGTGGGGGCACAGAGAGGACCTGTCAGCCCGCTGCTGCCCCCCCCCCAGCCTACTCTAGGACAGGGTGGGGTCAGACGGTGCAGCAGCTGCTGGGGCGGCTCATCTCGCTCTCTGCTCCGGCCTGGGGATCAGACGCCCCCACAGCCCCACTGTGCAGATGAGGAAGGCTGAGGCCCAGAGTCCAGAGCCACAGGGCGTGAGGGGGAGTGGGTTCAAGGCACCCAGTCCAGGGGTCCCTGCAGCAAAGACACTGGGACTCTCTGATAAATAAAAAGATCAACATACTGAGGCCAGTGCGGTGGCTCAACGGCCTAGGCCTCCACCTCCAAGCACCTGCAAACATAGGAGCCCAGGTTCAAGTCCCGGTGCACCACTTCCCATCCAGCTCCCCGCCTGTGGCCTGCACTCTGTGAATCTGCCTTTAAAGTAAAATAAATAAATCTTTACTAAGATTTGAGCGCCTACAGCTTTCCCTGAGAGGACGTGAACAAGAATACACGCTAGTAGCAGGTGCTTGCAGAAAGTTTAGGGGAAGTGACTATTAGGGGGAAAAAAGATGCATGGATTTTTTTTTTTCATTGCACCAAAATAAATTGGTCTTCCCTCCGCTGTGAGGTGTGTCTGCAGCAGCTGCAGGTGGCAAGGGGGTGGGGAGTGTTTTAGGGTTCTTAAATGCCCAGGGCTTGGGGGCTGGACGCTCCGCAACCTCGCGAAGGTCTCCATGCCCCCTTTTTCCCTTGCATGGAAACGAAGGTTCCAGGAGCCCCTGGCGGCCATGGGATGGCCAAGGCCCGGCTGGGGAGCGGGGAGAAAGGAGCAGGTGCGCCCACGGGAAGGGTCGCCCCGCGGAGCCCAGGGCGCGCGGCCTCCCCTGGCGGGCTCCCCCGCTCCAGGGCCCGGGCTCACCTTGCCCTTGACGTCCAGGATGAAGACAGCCGAGGCCGACATGGTGGCAGGCAGGCAGCTCCGGGCGGCGGCAGCTGCTTCCTCCTTCCTGCGGAAGCGCCCGCGCCCAGGTGAGCGCGCAGGTGAGCGCGTCTTAAAGGGGAGGTCGCCAGGTGAGCGGCGCGCTCGGCCGACGCCAAGGCTGCGACGAGGGAGGGCCCCGGGCTGCCCCGGGCGCCTCGGCCCACGCTCCACCCCGCACCCATGCAGCCCTCACCCACTCACCCCTACACCTCGTATTCTCTCTGCCGGGTCAGCCCGGCCGCCGCGTGCTCCGCCACAGTCCCCAGCCACTCACACTTCATCCAATCATTGCTTCTTTCACTCAAGGACAGAAATTGGGGCAGCTCTCAAGAACGGGAAACAGCAAATGCAGATTTTTTTTTTTTTTTTACTCCTAACGTTATTAACAAAACAAAAGCTTTATTTACTGAAAGAGAAGGATAGCGAGGGGGAAAGACAAAGAGGGCACAAGGTCTTTTTTCATTGGCTCGCTCCCTCAAATGCCCTCTGCACTCAGGACTGGGGCAGACCACAGCCAGGAGCCAGGATCGCAGCTGGATCCCCCACAGAGTGCCAGGGACCCAGACACTTGGGGTGATCACCCACTGCTCTCCCTGGTGCCCGAGCTGGGTCGGGAGCGGAGCAGCCGGGACTTGGACGAATGCCCGTTATGGGATGCCCGAGGTACCCCAATGCTGACTCTGGAAACCCAAGGTGCTGCCTGCACCCCAAGAATGGAGCATCCCCCCATGTCTTCCACAGCTCCCTTCAGAGGATGACCTGAACACGAGGAGAGGGAGGAGGCAGGGTGTTGTGGTAGAGTGGGTTAAGTGGCTACTAGTTAGTGCTGTCCGATGCCAGCTGGAGTCCTGGCTGGCCTCCTGTCTAGCTTCCTGCTGGTGCATTTAGAAAAGATTTATTTATTTTTATTGGAAAGCCAGATATACAGAGAGAAGGAGAGACAAAGAGGAAGATCTTGTGTCTGATGATTCACTTCCCAAGCGGCTGCAAAGGCTGGAGCTGAGCCAATCTGAAGCCAGGAGCCTCTCCCAGGTCTCCCACAGGGTGCAGAGTCCCAAGGCTGTGGGCCGTCCTCCACTGCTTTCCCAGGCCACAGGCAGGGAGCTGGGTGGGAAGTGGGGCAGTGGGACAAAAATTGATCCCCATATGGGATTCTGGTGCTTGCAATGTGAGGATTTAGCTATTGAGCCATTGTGCCAGGCCAGCAATAAATCTTGAAAAGAAGAGAAAGAGGTGGCCCAGAAGACATGCAGGCACTGCCTGGGCCCCGCCCGGCCTCCAGCTGTCCGAGCCTTTCAAAGGCCCCACCCATCTCCTGGGACCCCGAGATATTGGCAACTGGAAACAGAACCCCAACGGCCGGGCCCGGTGCCCTGGAATCTGAAACTCCAGGCCCTCTTGGCTGAAAAATTCATGAGCCCAAAACTTGCACAGGGCTCGGAGAACAGAGCCAGCTCTGTGTGTCCGTGCTGCTGCCTCCCCCCACCTAACCCTGCCTGGGCCTGGGGAAGCTCGGCCTGGGCCCACTTCAACGGAAGCCTGCCCAAGGAGGGGCCTGTCCACAATGCCTTCTCTAGTGCGGAGGGCAGGCCTTGACTCTGGCGTGCCCTGTGGTCCCCTCGGCCATGGGCACCACCTTGACTTGAGGAACCAGACACAGCACGCCAGCTTTCCCATCTTCTGTGCCCTGACCCCTGGGACATAAATGGCAGTCTGTGCCCCTCCTCTGTCTCTTTGATCTCAAATACCCCTTCCCAGTACCCACAGCTCGCCCATCCTGGCTGGGGCCACCTACTTCTCCAAATCCTTACAGAAGGCTGCTTTACTTTTCAATTTAAAAAGCTGAGTGAGAGAGTGAAAGAGGGCTCCTCTACCTGCTGCTTCACTTCCTGGGTGGCCTCAAGAACCAGGGCTGGTCAGGCCAAAAGCCGGGGGGCCCGGAGCTTCACCCCGGTTCCCAACGCGGCTGGCAGGGGTCCAGGCACTTGGCCACCCTCTGTTGCCTTCCCAGATTGGAAGCAGAGCAGCTGGGACGGGTCTTGGCATTCCGTGTGCGATGCTGGTGCCCTGACTGCAGCTTAACCAGCTGTGCACAACCAAGCCCTCTGTGGCAGCTCTCCTGTTACAGTAGGACTAAGCATAATGTTTCCTTTTCTGGCCATTTTTCAGTGGTGTCCAGCACATTCACACTCTTGCAGAATGCTCACCCCCATCTGGCAGCCCCCATCCTACTTTCTGCTTCTGCCACAGCCCTCCTGGTCTGACAGGTGCTGGGAGTGGTCAGCCACAGGGAGCACCCCCTCTTTTCCTTTAATAGGATGGGACTAGATCGCTGATGTTGCTGACTCAGTAACCCCACCTGGCAGCCTGCCAGGCGCAGGGCAGAAGACAAGGCAAAAGGTAGGGAGGCAGCGCTGTGGCTATAACGGACCGAGTCTGGCTCTTTCAAAATTTTTATTTTGAAAGTGAGTCGAGCCCGGCACGGTAGCCTATATACTTTGCATATACCGCTGGGATCCCATAAGGGCACCAGTTCATATCCCGGGTGCCCCGCTTCCCATCCAGCTCCCTGCCTGTGGCCTGGGAAAGCAGTGGAGGACGGCCCACAGCCTTGGGACCCTGCACCTGCGTGGGAGACCCAGAAGAAGTTCCTGGATTCTGGCTTCGGATTGACTTATCTACGACCATTGTGGCCATTTGGGGAGTGAACCAGCGGATGGAAGAACTCCACTGCTTTCCCAGGCCACAGGCAGGGAGCTGCATGGGAAGTGGGGCTGCCGGGATTAGAACCGCTGCTCATATGGGATGCTGGCACTGTTACAGGTGGAGGCTGAGTCTGCCATGCCACAGCACTACCCCCGCCCCCAAGTCTCTCTCTAAGGTTCAAGTCCTAGTCTAGCTGGGACTCACAGTGGGACTGGCATTGCGAGGCTGGACTTGTCTGTGTCATCTCCCACGCTAACCCCCTCTGCCGCAGAAAGCAGCTGCAACCCGTTCCTGTGAGGCCTGGAGCACTCCACCGCCCGCTGAATCTGTTCTGCAAACACTGTTGGCTGCCAGAACCTGCCCGTCACCTCCTCCCCCTTTTATGTTCTGTTCACATTTTCCACTGTTGAGTACAATGCATATGAATAGGCAGCTTCCTACATAGCTTTTGAAAAATGATTTGCTGAAGCTGGCATTGGCTGGCACTGTAGCATAGTGGGTATAGTGGTTGCCTGTAGTGCTGGCATCCTCTCTGGGCACTGGTTCAACTCCGAGCAGCTCCACTTCTGATCCAGCTCCATCTGATGCACCCGGAAAGCAGCAGAGGGATGACTTTCTTTCTTTTTCTTTCAAGATTTATTTATGTTTATTGGAAAGTCAGATACACAGAGAGAAAGATCTTCTGTCCTTTGATTCACTTCCCAAGCAGCTGTAATGGCCGGAGCTGCGCCAAACCAAAGCCAGGAGCCAGGAGCCTCTTCCGGGTCTCCCACGCGGATGCAGGGTCCCCAGGCTTTGGGCCATCCTCCACTGCTTTCCCAGGCCACAGGCAGGGAGCTGGGTGGGAAGTGGAGCAGCCGGGATTAGAACCGGAGCCCCTATGGAATCCCAGTGCGTGCAAGGTGAGGACTTTAGCCACCAGGCTACCACGCTGAGTCCAGGAACTATTTTCATAATAGTCCCTTGTTAAGTTCCTGGGTTCAGTCTGGCCCAGCCCTGGCTTTTGCAGGCATTTGGGGAAGTGAACCAGTGGATGAAAGATCTTCCTGTCTCTTTCTGCCTTTTAAATAAGTACATCATTTTGATTTGAAAGGGAGAGATTGTCCACCTGCTGGTTCGCTCCGTAAATGGCCTCCATGGCCAGGGCCGGGCCAGGCAGAAGTTGGGAGCTGCTTCCAGGTCTCCCACGTGGTTGCACGGGCCCAAACACTTGGGCCATCCATTGGTCGGGAGCTGGATCAGACGCAGAGCAGCTGTCACTGTGGTACGGGATGCCAGCAGTAGGAGGCGGCTTAACCTGCCGTGAAACCGAGCTGGCCGCACGAGTGTCACAGACATGAATCCCTAGCCAGAATCACGTGCTGCCAAGCTGACCCCCCACACCAGCATGGTCTCCCTGATGCCCCTGCTGTGGTCCCCAACGCACCACCCTGATCTGTCAGCATACCTTGATTAGTTATGCCTGTTCTAGAACTTTCTGAACCGTGTCAGGCCTTTTGCTCAGCTGAAGGCTTTGTTCTTTTTCAGGATTTGTCCATGGGGGTGCATTCTATCCGTAGCTCCTTCCTGGGGCCGTCCTTCTCCACTCCCTGCTCCGCTGCCTCCTGAGGCACCTGCTGGCTCAGCCTGGGCCAGGGCTGCGGCACCTGCTCGCTCAGCCTGGGTCAGGGCTGCCCGTTTGAGGCACCTGCTGGCTCAGCCTGGGCCAGGGCTGCCTCCTGAGGCACCTGCTCACTCAGCCTGGGCCAGGGCTGCCTCCTGAGGCACCTGCTCGCTCAGCCTGGGCCAGGGCTGCCTCCTGAGGCACCTGCTCGCTCAGCCTGGGCCAGGGCTGCCTCCTGAGGCACCTGCTCGCTCAGCCTGGGCCAGGGCTGCCTGTTTGAGGCACCTGCTCACTCAGCCTGGGCCAGGGCTGCCTCCTGAGGCACCTGCTCACTCAGCCTGGGCCAGGGCTGCCTCCTGAGGCACCTGCTCGCTCAGCCTGGGCCAGGGCTGCGGCACCTGCTCGCTCAGCCTGGGTCAGGGCTGCCCGTTTGAGGCACCTGCTGGCTCAGCCTGGGCCAGGGCTGCCTCCTGAGGCACCTGCTCGCTCAGCCTGGGCCAGGGCTGCCTCCTGAGGCACCTGCTCGCTCAGCCTGGGCCAGGGCTGCCTGTTTGAGGCACCTGCTCGCTCAGCCTGGACCAGGGCTGCCCGTTTGAGGCACCTGCTCGCTCAGCCTGGGTCAGGGCTGCCTCCTGAGGCACCTGCTCGCTCAGCCTGGGCCAGGGCTGCCTGTTTGAGGCACCTGCTCGCTCAGCCTGGGCCAGGGCTGCCTCCTGAGGCACCTGCTCACTCAGCCTGGGCCAGGGCTGCCTCCTGAGGCACCTGCTCGCTCAGCCTGGGCCAGGGCTGCGGCACCTGCTCGCTCAGCCTGGGTCAGGGCTGCCCGTTTGAGGCACCTGCTGGCTCAGCCTGGGCCAGGGCTGCCTCCTGAGGCACCTGCTCGCTCAGCCTGGGCCAGGGCTGCCTCCTGAGGCACCTGCTCGCTCAGCCTGGGCCAGGGCTGCCTGTTTGAGGCACCTGCTCGCTCAGCCTGGACCAGGGCTGCCCGTTTGAGGCACCTGCTCGCTCAGCCTGGGCCAGGGCTGCCTGTTTGAGGCACCTGCTGGCTCAGCCTGGGCCAGGGCTGCCTCCTGAGGCACCTGCTGGCTCAGCCTGGGCCAGGGCGGCCCGCTTGGGGGGCAGGGACCCCAGCACCACCGGAGCCATCCCCTGCTGCCCCCCCCCAAGGTGGGCGTGAGCAGGAAGCTGGAATCAGAAGCCGAGCTGGGAATTGAACGAGGCGCTGCTCCTCTGGGCTGTGGAGATGCCACCCCCTGCATGCAACCATGCTACTAAGGCTGCAGACACACACACACACACACACACACACACACACCGGGACCCCGCTGGGAAAGGAATCCACTGGTTGGACCTGATTTAGATGTCATCTCTCTACCGGAGCCTACCTGCTGGCCCCGGGGGGTGAGGGGAGCCTGCTGCCAAAGTCCTGACCATCGGATGAATGGAAACCAGGAGCATTTTACCTGTTGGCTGCCACCCAGCGGCCGTTTAGTGCCTCCTGGGCGAATCCATGCCTGGAGGGATGGATGAGATGGGTTGGCCTCACCTGGCCCCGCGGTGCGGCCGCGAACCCCGGAGCTCCCTGGATGGGGAAACAAAGAGACTCCACCCTTCCCGGGCCGGTTCCGCCCCCGCGAACCCGCCTCCCGCCCGCTCGGGGCTCCCATTGGAGAGGGGCGCGCACGGGGCGGCGCGCACGGGCGGGGCGCACGGGCAGGGCGGGCTCCCCAGGCCCGGGGCCGGCGGGCGCGGTGCGCTGCAGCCCGCCGCCGAACCTCCCGCCCGCCCGGGCTGGGGTCGCGCTCTCCCGGACCATGGAGGACGAGCGCAAGGACGGGGCCTACGGTAGGGAGCCGCCTTCCCCCCTCGGGGGGCCGCTGAGTTGAGGGGTGGCTTTGGAGAGAGGGGCAGCTCAGGACACGCGCAGCTCGGAGGCGCCGTCCGGCCGCTGCCCTCCCGCGCCGCGTGCATCCCCAAGCTGCAGCTGGGGCTTCCCCACACCGGGGGGGCCCTTCGCTGCCTCCCACCCCACCGCCACCGTGGGTTTTGGGGCCTGGGCGCACGGCGCATGCTCCACCCGCGGAGGTCCCGTTATCTGGGCGGCTCAGATGGCACGAGGCGGGGGAGGGGAGGCCTGGCGATGGGTGCTGGCAAGCGGCCGGCCGCGACCTCCCTGCTTCCCTCTGGTCTTCTTCCCGGACCCCTTTGCCCTGCTTTCCCCTCCTCCCGAATATCTCCTTCTCCAGCACTCCCTGCAAGTAACGGCCCAAGGCGTTGAGCCAGATGCAGGGAAACTGAGGCAGCCCGGGGCAGCCGGAAGAGGGAGGCGTCCCTCTAAACCTCCCCTCCCTCTCCCCCACCCCAGCAGCCTAGGAGGGGCGGAAACCAAGCCATCTCCGGTGCTGGGGCAGGAAAAAACCGGAAACAATTGAGAAACTTTCACTCCTCCCTTTCAGAAACGGCATATCCACCCCCCAGTTAAACGGGATCCCCATAATGGGGGTCGCACGCCTACAGATTCTTGAGCACCGCCTTAGCTAGTCGGTGGAGGGGTGCAGCGAGAGCAGGATGTGGCCACCGTGCGTGCCCCACAACCCCTTCTTGGCTACTTTTTTCTTTCTCTTCTGCATTTTGAGTCCCCAGGGGTCAGCTCAGCCTAAACCCCAATTGGCACTGTCCCCCTGGGGAGGGTGTTGGGGGGACTGGGAGGAGGACCTCGGTGACCCCCTTCTCTGCAGGACCCACAACTTCCTGGTGAATGAAAGCCTTGGGGAGGGGGCCGGAAACTGATCTAGGAAAGCAAAAACAAGTTAGGCAGAACTGCGACTCTAACCTCCCCCACCCCTGGGGACAAAGGCCTCAAGAGGCCCTGATGCCTTGGTCTCCAGGGACAGCCCTGGCAGAGGGGCACCGCCTGCAAGCACCCCAACTCCTTGCTGTCTGAAAATGCCAACTGGGATCTCTCTCCCCCTTGGCTCTTGGTTTTGGCTGCAGCCCTGGGCTCTGCAGCTGCCAGTGCCTTGGTCCTTAGGGTGTGGCCAGCTGGATGGGTTGTGGACATCTTGGCCTGGGGGTCCCTGGCTAGGCTGCCTGAGGGGGTATCCAGCCTCTGCTGGGTGCTTGGTCTCCCGTGGGGTCTGCCTAGGATGGGGTGCCAGGTGGAGTGGGCCCCCAATCCAGTAGACCCTTCTAGTGCGTCTGTGGCCAAAGCCTCCTGGGTTAGGGTGGAGGGTCCTGCTTGGCTCTGCCCAGCCCTCCCAGCCCCTCTAAGACTTCCGGGAAGGCTGGGCTGGAAGAAAAAATTGCCAGAAGGGAGAAGGACCAGCAAGTAGAGGTGTAATTGCAGGTTGTCTCAGGTTGTGCAGCAGAAAATGGGACACTGGTGGGATGGCCTCGGGGTAATTTAGGTGAGTGAGGGCTGGAAGTGTGCGGCTGGGAGAGGTCTGAGGAAACTGCAGACAAACCACACTGTTGCTTTGTTATCCCTCTCTCCGAGGTGGCCCTGCAGCCTTGCGGCCTGGCAGGCTCTGCCGAGTGTCCAAAGGGGCCACCTGCCTGGGGTGCTTGCATTGCGGATGTAAAAAGAAATAATAATAATTTAAAATGTGTTTGGAAAACAGAGTGGCTTGGAGTTCTTGCATCCAGCTGTTGATTCATCCGGCACCGCTCCCCCTCACCCTCCTGAGCTGCAGCGGCTAGGGTTGAACGGGTCTCGCACGCGGGCTGCAAGCGCCCACCGACTTGGCCCATCTCCCATCGCTTTCCCAGGGTGCTTTAAGCTGGAGCTGGATCAGGCGCCAAGCGACCATGCCCATGGGGGATGCCGGCCGTGTAGGCGGCAGCTTAGCTCGCTGTGTCCCAAGGTGTGTCTTGCTTGGCTTGAGTCCAGAACTGGCAAGCTGGAGTGGTTGGACTGGCCGTGAAGTCCCTGCCTGATCTTGGTGTGGGGGATGCCCTCTGGTGCCAGGTGTGCCTGGGAGGCTCATGCATTGCTTTTGAAAGGGGCTGTGTGGTGGTGGGTGGATCAGGGGTGGATCAGCCAGCTCTCTGAGGAACCCTGAGGAACCCCAAGCGCTTCGCTACAGCAGTGGCAGTCAGCAGGAGGGGAGCTTAGGGGGATGGAGGCTGGCCATCCTGGGAATGTAGCCTTTTCCAGCTGTCCTTGTCTGCCAAGGTCAAGACTGGGCAGGACAGGAAGGTCCCTTCTTGGAGCAAGCACAGGGAGGATGCAGCTCCAGGGGGAAGGGGGAAGTGGCTGGGGGCCCTGAGGGTGGGGAGGTGGGTGGGGAGGTGGGTGGAGATGCCTACTGCAGGCATTGCTGCCTCTGGGCCAAGTGGGCTGCGGGGAGGGGGGAGGGAATAGAATCTGAAATCATAGACTCTGATGAGGAAGGAAAAAAAAAACTGGAGGAAAAAGTTATGGTTGTTTGAAAACCCGGTTCCTGGGGCTGTGGATTGGGCAGGGTAGTTAGGTCGCCACTTAAGATGTCAAGTCCCCAAGGGGAGTGCCTGGACTAGAGCCCCTGAGTGCTGGCAGGATTGGCTCCGGTGCTGGGGGTCCCTGCTGTTCTGGGACATGGGAGACCTGGGTTGAGGACTGCGCCCCGACCTTGCCCTGGCTGGCGCAGCCGTCTTAGAGAGTGAACCGGCAGATGGTGGTCCTTGTTTTATGTTAAAGTTCCTTTATCGGGACTGGTGCTATAGCCTAGTGGCTAAATCCTCGCCTTGCGCGCACTGGGATCCCACATGGGTGCCAGTTTGTGTCTCAGCGGCCAGCTCCCTGCCTGTGGCCTGGGAAAGCAGTGGAGGACGGCCCAAAGCCTTGGGACCCTGCACCCTGTGGGAGACCCGGGGGAGGCTCCTGGCTCCTGGCTTGAGCCTGGCCCAGCCCTGGCTGTTGCAGGCATTTGAGAAGTAAACGCCTGTGGAAGATTTCTTCTCTGTGTCTTTCTGCCTCTCAAGTAAGTAAATGCAGTCATTTTTAAGATTGATTTATTTTTATTGAAAAGTCAGATATACAGACAGGAGAGACAGAAAGATCTTCCATCTGCTGGTTCACTCCCCAAGTGGCCACCACGGCCCAAGTTGAGCCGATCTGAAGCCAGGAGCCTCTTCTGGGTCTCCCACGCGGGTGCAGGTGCCCACGCGTTGAATCTGTCTTCTGTTGGTTTTTCTGCTGGATTAGCAGGGAGCTGGATTGGAACGGAGCAGCCAGGATTTGAACCAGTGCCCGATACGGGCACTGCAGACTGGTGTAGCGTACTGTGACACAGTGCCAGCCCCTGACTTTAAACTCTTCTATAGCAGCTAAATGAATATATTCTCTCTGTTGGAGTGGGGAAGCTTAAAACGACAAATAAGCCCTTGTGCTAGGCGAGAAGTATGGTTTTCCATGTGGAAAAAGCCTCCTGGGAGCCCTTGGGTGCCTGCCTTTATCCCAGGGGCAGACACTTCCACGGAATCCTCTTCCAGACTGTACCCGGCTGCTTGGCCTGTTGTGTGTGATGTTTGCATCTTTTTTTTTCTTTTTCCACTGAAAACAGCTGCCCTGGCACCACAGACTTTCGCGTCTTTTTAAAGCTCCTGGGTTGGGTTTAATGCCGAGGGAAGGTGCCCAGGGTGGGGTTCCCACAGTGCAACCGCAGGGCTCCTGGCTGGTGGTGGTGGGGGGCTGCCGTGTTAGTCTGTGAAATGGCGAAGGGGAGAAGAAAGAGCCTAGCCAAAAACGGGGGACGTTGTCAAGCTGTGTGGACTGGGGGTGAAGGTACCAGGGGTGGGGTCTTCTCTCTCGCAGCCCCACTGCCAGGGCAGCTACCACGGCAGGAGGTCTCCACTTCAGCAAATGTTGCTTTGCTCACAGCCTCTCCCAGTGGGAATTCTTCCTACGTGTGGCACAGCACTGAGGCTGTTTTCTTTGTTGCTGTTTCTGTGTAACAGTAACTACCTTGTGGTATAGATGGGGCCAGCCCTGCGGGGTAGGGGGCCGAGCCTGTGCTGCAGTGCTGCTCCACTTCCCATCCAACTCCCTGCTGATGTGCCTGGGAAAGCAGCAGAGGACCGGCCCACATGATTGGGTACCCACCACCCATGTGAAAAATCTAGAACAAGCTCCTGGTTTCAGATCGGCTCAGCTCCAGCCTGTAACCGGCCATTTGGGGAGTGAACCAGCGGATGGAAGATCTTTTTCCTTCTCTCTCTGTAGTTTCTTTCAAATATGTAAATGAAGCAACAGCAACAAAAGAGAAGCCCAGTGTCTTATACTGCAGTGCCCGGGCTGAAGTCCCATCTGGCTCTGGCTTCAGGCTCCCTGCTAAGCAGATCCTGGGGGGAGCGGTGGGTAGCAGGTGCCAGCTTGAGCTAGCCCACTCCCTGCCACCCACCTAAGTGAGCTGGCCTGCAGTTCCCAGATGCTGGCACTGCCTGGCCCAGCCCTGGCCACTGCGGCCTTTGGAAAATGAGCCTGTGGGTGAAAGGCAGCGTTACTGGGACAGAGATCTTTCATCCCCTTGGGTCATTTCTTAAATGGTCACAATGACTGGGGCTGGCCAAGCCCAGGGCGGGAGTCTGGAATTCCA